TGAAACTCAAATGCCTCATAGCTAATCTCGAGAACAGGTCATTGGAAACTTCATCAACGGCAAGCCAATTGCAGCTCAAGTCATTGCATACGAGTTCTTCGAGGGGCTCAGCAGTGGATTCATCGAGTCTTTGAACTTTGCTGAGGGAACCATGAAGATTGCCTCGGGACCTACTGTCCGCATCAGTGACCCCAATGCTGTCTTCTCCATTGGATACACCCAAGCGCCTTTCTTTACCGCTGACGATGAGAGCCCGAGCATTTCTTCTTTCTCCGGCTTTCCTATGTGTATCCCAAGAAGCACGTCTGACCCGCTTTGCCCATCCACCAACCGACCCTTCCAGGGCTCCGGCACATTGTAAGTCCCATGCACAGGCACATCGTGGCGCAGTGTTTGGAGGGATGCTTATCAGTGCACAGTTCTGTCCCAGACCCACTTTCCATGGCACCCTTCCTCGTCGGCGACTTTGTCACCTTCTCAGGTATCCGACGTGGCAACGAAGTCATTGCCTACAGTATTGTCGCCCAGAATGTTATGATCACCACATTGGGCGATCTCGTCTACCTACGCATGGAGCTCGGTCTCCTCGGAATCGACAACATTAGCCCCAACACTGAGCTTGCAGAGTCTCGCGTAAGTTCCGAGCCCTTCATCATTGTAGTTCCTGCGCTAACAAGTGACTGTAGTTCATCGGATTTGCATCCAACCCACGAACCACCGTAGCTCTCTACGCCATGGACACTGACCCTTGCACCGGCAAAGTCACGGACCGAATCATCGCAACCATGGGTCTCCGCGGCGGCCGCAACGAGCAAAACAAGTTCGAGTACCGATCCGATATCCTAAGCGGCTACGCACGCGAATACCGGGTTGTCGCGGAAATCAACGGCGTCCCCAAGACTCGCACGACAAAGAACGGTCTTCTGGCTGGTACATACGTTCAACCCATCAACGTCTGGGTCCACGGCGAACAAGTCATTCCGGGAACTGCCCCGCCAGCCAACGACTTTAGCCAAATGCCTTGGTTGACCAACGGCATTGGCGTTGACGAGAACGGCAATCTGTGGGGTCCTCTGGATCCTTTCCCTCAGACGGGTGTTTTCATTGATCCTCCTCAATGCGGGCCTGTCAGCCAGTTGATGTTTGAAGGTGATAACTTGAACACTACTTGGGCTCCTTCTGGTAATTCTACTCCCCCATCTCCAGTACCTTTTTTTTGTAAAACTCGTACACGACATCAATTTGCTAACGGATCTTGTGTTTTCTTTAGCTGAACTGTTGAATACAACGGCACCTGCTGATAACGTGGCTCCTCCTCCTCCTCCGAGCAACGTCACTGCCAGGGGTGTAGCGCCTAGCGAGATTATTCCTGCTCGCACAAAGCGCGGCGTCCCGAATGTTCGCTGGCTCTCGAGAGCGAGATTGGAGAGTGAGACTATTCCTCAAGGCGACACGGTGATTGCTAAGGTGGAGTGAAGAGACGAAACGGCACCTGGAGGATAGTGCGAGTTGATCAGATGAGGGTTCTAGGATTTGCTTCATAAGTGGACAGCTAGCGCTATGATAATTCCAAACCTGTTCGGTGCATTTCATGTGTAGATTCAGTGCTTTGTAGTCAATTGCACTCCTTGGCTCCCCCCCCCCCCTCTCTATTCTGAAGCATTCGTAAATATTCCATACCGTTATTTATGTGTATGATTTTTCCTCTTTTTTGGATACACCAGTCCACAATTCGGCCTTTTGTGAATTAACCGGCTTAAATAAGAACTTAGCCCTACGTAAATCAATCTACGTAGCCCCAAAGCCCCGCTTTCAGTTTTTTTTTAAAAAAAAAAAATGGTAAAGTTTGCAGCAAAAGAAAGATTTTTGGAACCAACGACCCCAGTTTCTGGAGAAGGCTCGGGAGATAGCAAACCACGAGGTAGTTCGGTAAGTGTAATTATCGTTACGGAGCAATCACATGTGTGTGTGTGTCTGTGTCGCGTTGCCCTCTTTGAATCACGGCACTATAATCTTTTTTTTCGCCATATCCTCTGGTATAGCGCAAGTGCAGAAATACCAAGACAAACAAGCATAATGTGTAATGATAATGGTAGTGAAGTCAGCGGAAGCTGACTTCAGTATAAGGTACTAAATTAAGGTGCTATGTCTACATCAGATATGGGCTCAACGCCGTAATGTCCTTCTCCAAGCTCGACTTAAAAGATGTCAGTTTACATGGATTGCTGAGCAAGTTTCAGTTTTGATAGTGTTGATGTAAAAGAGTGATATATTTTTGGTTTACTCCATGTGTCCCTATTTGCCCCTTCGATGTCCATGTCTCTTGACAATTCTACACTTCATTCCCCGACTTCTTGCTTCATCCGAGTTTCCCTTCAACAGAATCCTAGCGTTTTCGCTTACACTACATCCTTCCTCGGCCTTAAAAGAACGTTCCCTTGTGGCCTGCCTGGACAGTGCTGTTCTCCAGTACAGCATCAGAGTCGTGGTTATCAAACGCACCGGGCCGGTCGAAAGATTGGGGAATCGGTCGATCAAAGGCATCAAAGCGACGGCCCTGAATCCTGGCCTTTGCCCAAAGGAAGCTGATGCGAAGAGCGCAAGCACCAAAAGCCCAGAGAAGGCCACCAACCGGCGCGGCTACGAAAGCACCTGTGCTTTGATTAGCAAACAATCATGGTTTCAAAGGAATTGGCATCAACGTACCAAAAGCGCTCCAGTCGTTTGCATACAATCCACCTTCAAGCAAGAGCAGTTTACTAGCGAGCGTGGCATCGCCATCATAGTACACAAGTCCAAACAAGAAGATTGTAAAGATACCGCCCAGTCCACCAACCACAAAGTCGAATCCCCGATACCAGTAGAACCTCTCACTCAGACCAATGACCAGGCAAGGAACAACCGCTGCACTGACCAAATCACTGATCAGGAAGATCTGCAAGATATCCGGGCTGCGCAGTGCAACGACAACGACGGGGAAAATGATCGCCACAACAAAAGCGCGAATGACCCAAATGTTGAGCTTGTTGCGGAAGAAGTCGTTGCTTGCTGTGCTAATCATGGCGGACTGGAAAGAATCAAACGCAGCGGTAGATAGCGAGACGGTCATGACGAGGATTACACCTACAACCCAAGCGGGTAGTTTCTCGAGGAGAAGGAAGAAAGCAAGGGAGGAGTTGGCTTCGTCGCCAATGGTGTAGGCACCAGACCAGGCGGCAAGCATACCGCCGACACCAAGCAGCGTAAGAATGATAAGGATGCCCATGGTGGCAAGCGAGACTCCAATCCACAGGTCCTTGTCTGTACGCGAGGCAAATGTGCGCATCCAGAATCCAGAGAGGAAAAAGTCGTTGGTAAGAATAGCGACGGGGAGAATGTAAATGAGTTGCCATCCCAACAAGCTGGGCTTAAGGTAGCCAGACTGATCAATCAACGAACGATCAATGTCGGTTTCTACGCCAACAGCAATCACTCCCAGGATGATGAGGCCACTGACCATGGCGCCCTGAATGTTGTCGGTGACGAAAGAGACTTTGAAGCCGCCAAGTGCTGTCATCGTAAGTCAACCTCCCCTCTCATTCCAATACCACGATAATCTTACAGGTATAGATGGTAGTAACGGCACACTCGACAATGACAACTGGAAGCCCATTTAACCCAGTCAGGAGATTGACAATCTGCTGCAGTGCCGAAAGCTCAGCAACCATGTACAAAAACATGGTGATGAGCGTGCAGAGACTGAGAAATATGCCGGCAACAGCTCCATACCGTTGCCTGGTCCATTCGGTCAAGACAAAGCCTTCTGGACATTTGCGCCTGATAATGGGGCCCAGCGCGCCAAAGATTAGAAGCGGTAGAGACGAAGACAGCGCATATACCAGTAGACCCTGCACACCAGCGATAGTGGCAATTTGAGGGTATGTGAACAAAATACCCGATCCGAGAGCTGTGTGTTAAGGAAGCCTAGGTCAGCTTTGTGCATCAGCCAACAAAGGGGGGGATTGTGTAGGGGGGAGTAGCGGCAGCACGTTCCTCACGCAAGTATTATCTTGATCGAGTTCTTACGGTACTTCTCAGCTTTCCCTTGGCTAGAGTCAACACATCCTAGATATAGGATCTTGAATGCACAAACTCCCAGCCTCGGTTCCGCGCCCGCAGTGTAGCCGCACAAAAGACTGACCTCATACGACTGCGCACCGAGTCAATGGCTCTTTGGCACAGCAGTCATGAGATCAGGCTTCTGTGAGAGATCTCAATACGAACCTGGAGGATATCAAGTTTTTCTTGTGCGAAAGCACATGCTCCAAACGACGACGTCGTACTGTCATTGGAGAGCCATCATGATACTGAATTATCGATACTGCCGCTGGCTCTTCATGTGCGAAGCACAGGTGCACGAATGCACTCACCCGATGCGATGAAATTGAAAGCGAGCGGAATGCCTACACGGCCGTTAGCTGGTTTGTTTGCAACTTGAAAAAAAAAGTAGCGGGGTTTGCTTTGCGCGGATTGCGCAGAATTTGGGGGAGGGGGACGCATGCGCTGACCCTTTTGTGTACGGTTGCTAGACAGCCACTCGGTTTTGGACTGGTGTCGCAACCGCCATGCGATGAAGCATCCCAAAACCCTGGTTTTTGGAAATTAGTATGATTCGTGCCCGCAAGGACCGTTAGCTGTACTCACAAAAAGGAGCCTAGAGTCAGGTAGATGATGGCGTTGGACGCCGGCTGCGATGGCATACCCATGACGGAAAACGGTCACTATGCGAAACGGCGATCAAAGTCAAAGATGGATAGATTGAAGATGCAGAGCGACGGGGTTAGGAGCATGCAAGACCAAGGTAGTTTGCGCCAAAAACTTTGCTACGACTAAATCCCGCGCCTTTCTCATTGCATCGCTAGCGCTGCGCGGAGAAATTGACGGCTGCTGTCAGTTTCCTTTGCAATTGGTTCTGGCCGGCTCTCTCCGCGCCCACAGACGTGGGGGGCTCATGGGGTGATGGGCAAGTGCGCATAGAGCATGTATTAGGGCTATTTGAAGTCGATACGAGGTACACAAGGTAGAAATTCTCATCTGCGCAACGACAACAAAGGAGTCTGTCGCATTCTCTGATCACTCGTCATATTCTCCCATTGCTTAAATTCGAGTAAGAAACAGTTTCCCAAACGCCTCGTCGCTCCGTAACGCAGAAAATGCGGCAAACCAAAATGAGGACATTATCCATTACTGCTCCAGATTGCCCTTTTGAATTTGTCTGTAGCAAACCATGATATTGGTCGATGATTGCTGGCCAGCAAGACGTGCTCAGACTCGTCTACCACGCATGCCTGTCCCAGTTTGGGTCTGCCAGGTGTCAGTCGCCGCTCTTATCACACATGTGCTGTTGAACTCACCCTGCACAAATGCCGCAAGCACCTTGCTGCCAGTCTGCAATAGCGGATGGCCAACTACTATTTGCAGAAACCGTTGGAGTCCCTCCCGTCGGTGCTCAATGACGTCGTCCGAGAAGCGGTTGGTAAGGACCTTGCCTGGCAGAGGTGGTATAGTGACGCGCGCCGACTCGCGCTCAAGAATATCACGGAAGGCTTCAAATTCGCTGTATCGGCGGCGGACCGTCGACGACTTGAGCTTGAAGGCAGGAATATTGGTACGCATTACAATTTCGTAGGTTGTGTACATGCCACGGCCGACTCCTAAAGTCTTGTCAGCACACATACTCTTACAACATCTATGCGCCTCGACTTACCGTGCGTCATGGGATTCCTAACCTGTGCACGCGACAAATGTGAGCGAGGCTGCAGTCACACAAGGATATGGAAGCTCCAGATCAGCCTACCTCAATCTCCAGGAAGTTTTCGGGAGGGCCGTACAGCTCCTCAAAGCTCTGCGATCGAGCGTCGGGTAGCGACTGCATCTTGGGCGTAGATGTGGATGTGAACGTGGAATCAGGACGAAGGTTGGTTGCGCAAGAGCTGGAGATCGATGGCGGGGCTATCGCGAACTAATGGCCCGGCGCACTGGTTGCTCTTGGTCTGGCGAGCTGTTGGCAATGCACGTGCATGCAACCGCCCTGCATGAACACCAGCCAAACCTGCCACATAGGTGATGCAATCCAAGTCATCTCAGGTGGCTTGCGTAGCCAGATTGGGTTCTTATTTGCTCTGCTCGCTGTTGCGGAACTTGCTACAAGTGTGGTAGTTGTTCTTGTTTGTATATAGTATGCAACCTTACTATCACAAACCATATCTACAAATCGTTACTGTGTAGGTCCATCACTCGTTGACGCCATTTTCTATACGACGAATCACAAGATCTGAAATAACCTTTACTCAATTACGGATTCCGTAATACAGCAGTCTAGAAGAGTACCCAACAAGAAGTAACATGTAATAATATATTTAACATGATGTGACATCATCCGATCTCCAATTGCCTTTCCTTGTCACAACATGCCTGCCATGAACCCCTGGCCATGCCAGCGAGGTCTAACGATGATAGCACTTACGCAGACAGGGTAGAGACAAAGGTGCAAAGTCTTGAGGAAAAAGTGCACATGCATTGAAAGACGAAACAAAAACAAAACTACATACTGTGGGCGCATGTTCGTGACCGCTCACTCTAAGAAGCACAAACTCCCGGTCCATGCCATGATATCCGTCCTGTACCCGCTTTTGACCAGTCGTCAATCATAACGAGCGTAGAAACAAAACGAACGCCTAGCTTTTTCCCATCCTCCTCTACTGGCGATCCCTCAAGTGACGAGGTACGTACTTACCAGTTGATGCGGCTGGAGCCTGAGCAGCAGGCCTCGACTCACGCTCACCTTCGCCCTCACGAGCTGGCGCATCGCGGCGAGCACCAGGGGGAACGTAGCCACCAGTCGTGGCAGGAGATGCCTTCCTGTCTCCCCATCGGTCTCCGCCGCGAGAAGCTTCATATCGGCCGCTGCCACCGGCATTGCCACTACCGCTACCGCTACCGCTTGCCTCACGCTCGCGCCATCCGCCACCTGGAGCACCACCTTGGCGCAGCGCTGGTGGAACATATCCACCCCTCTTGGGCGCTTCCGCCTCAGGGGCGGGAGAAGCTGCTGCAGGTGCAGGGGATGTGCTGGCAGCAGGAGGTACTTGACCAGCGGCCTTCATGGCCTCACGCTCACGCCAGCTGGGCTTGCCGCCAGGAAGTTGAATCTTTGGTGGACCGCTGGAAGAAGGAGCGTCGGCAGCCGGCTCGCGAGAAAAGGTCCGGCCAGAACCAGCGCCAGCGGCAGCTCTTCGCTTTGCCATGGCCTCTTCCTCGCGCTGTGCCTGAAGGCGAGCCTTCTCAGCAAGAGCACTGCGATATATTAGTGTGTGAATGGGAAAAGGACATGGTGATACTGACTTTCGCTCTTCATCTCTCTTCGCCTTCTCTTCGGCCAACCGTGCGCGCCTCTCCTCTTCAGCCTTGGCCTTGGCCTCAGCTTCAGCCCTCTCGCGCTCCTCTTCTTCGCGCTGGCGGCGCTCGGCCTCTTCGCGCTCCCTCTTCTCCCTAGCAATGCGTTCCTTGACCTCCTTGACACGTGCGGCCTTCTTGCTTTCAAGCTCCTTCTGTGCAATCTTCTGGCGCTTTTCAAACTCGGCCTTGCGCTGCTGCTTGACAGTGGCAACGAATTGCTGGTAAGGGGTTACCAATCTTGACAGACGATGCTTGAGCGCAACGTCTTCCTTGTGCTTTTCTTCGGCCTCCCTGAGCTCTTCGGCCTTTGCCTTCTCGTAAGCTGCGAGATCCGCCTCTTGTTGTTTTTCGTAATCAGTCTTGAGGTGCTTGATTTCCTCCTTACGGTAGGCGCGCTCCAAGTGATCGATACGCTTACCGGCAATGCGGAGCTGTTCACCAAGCTGGTTCTTTTCCCTCTCGAGAGCCTGCAGCTTAAGGATACGGATCCTCTGGGAATCGAGATCATCGAGATCTTCTGGAAGCTCAATGTCAACCTTTGTGGTAGCCTTGAGTTCCTTGATCTGCTTCTCCATTTCCTCACGTTGAATGCGCTTCTGCTCAGCCTTGATGCGCTGCTCAGCACGCTGCTTCTGCTCCTCAGCAAGACGGCGAGCTTCCTCATCCTTGAGCTGTTGCTGGCGAATGAGCCTCTTGGTTTGCTCCTCGTTCTCCTTGGCTTGCTGGGCCTTGAGTGCAGCTTCCTTCTTTTGCGAGATGATGTCACGACGGCTGAGAATCTCTTGATGTTCCTTCTCAGCGCCTTCCTTTGCACGTGCAAGCGCAGCCTCCTTTGCGCGCAGACGGTCTCCATTGAATGAGGGGTCAACATATTGGCAGGTCACGAACAGGGATTTGGCAAGACGGGTAAGCTGAGAGCGCACAATCTCAGCAGGGGTGCTCTGCAGACGCTGCACGGAGCGAGATTCCGTTTCGGCTGATCCCGCACCAGAACCAGGGTGCATGGCCTTTGCTGAGGAGAAGACATCGGAATCAAAAGTGAGAACCCCGGTAGCGTGGTCAGTGCGGATAGCAAGATCGCCCTTTTTGCAGCCGTTCATGATGAACTTTTCAATGGTACCAGCACTGACATGGAAGGGCTCAGGGAACTGGGCAAGGCCAAGCACAAACTTAATCTCGACAGAGTCGTATACTTGAGACAACTGCTGGAAGAGACGGGTGAGGATGACCTGCTGGAGCGGGCCAACATACTTTTGCATGCCCTCGTCAGCACCGATCTGAGATAGGATCGGTGAGATCTTCTTGCAAATGGAGAGAGGGTGGAAGTCGACCTCGAGGATGTTGTAGAGATCGCGAATCTCGGGACGCACGCGCTTGAGCAGACCTTTGCTGAGAGCGTCCTTGAACAAGATGGCACGAGTAGGAGCCTGCGACATGCCGAGCAAGTTGGTAAGACGCGAGTTCTTGTTCTTCCTAGCCTCATCTACGTCGACAAGAGCACCGCGGGAGCGCGAGGTGCTGATGACGGGAATGGCAAGGGCTGACAGCAAGACAAACGAGGCAGCCTTAGTCATGTCAGCTTCTGTGACGGCCGGGTTGTCCTTCTTGGGGCTCTGTCCAGAGGCAACGGCGGCTGCGGACTGGCGGAGGAGGTTGTAGTAGCGGCTGTACGCAGCAGCGTGGAACAGGTAGTTCTCGCTGACGAGGAAGATACGGGTCAGCTTCTCAAAGTAGTTGGCCATCATGATGTTCTTGGCCGGTCGCTTGCTCAAGCTGAGGAGCGTGTGGATGTCCTCGACGCTGCGGAAAGCCTCCTGCCAGAGCTCAAGCTCGACAGCCACATTAAGTTGCTGGAAGCGGGTGTCGAGGTGGCGCTGCAGAGTGTCGGGGTCGGACAGGTTGATGGCGTGCATCTGCGAGGAGAACTTTGCGGCATTCTGGAGATGGTTGCGGAGCAGCTCACAGAGACGGCGGAACTCGGTCTTGCGGGCATACTTGGAGCAGAACTGGAAGGCCTGATGGGCGGTTGACTGGTACATGAGCTCCAGACGGGCATTGTTCTTGAAGATGTCGAGGACAGTGCGGTATGTCTCCCACAGGAACTTGAGCCATGGAGTGACAATGGCACGGTCGGTGCGGTCGCGCGACTGCTCGCCGGAGACGGTGGAGAGGAGAATGGACTCTGGCGTCTCGGTGGCCTCGAGATCGTCGACGTTCTTGTCGTCAGAGGGCTCGAGCGAGGACTGGACCTCGTCGGCCTTTGCCTGGGCCTCTGTGACTTTTTGCTCAGCAAGCTCAATGAAGCGCTTGAAGACGGTCTCGATTGTGCCGACGTTTGTGTTCTGGGCCGTGTTCTTGTACTGGTACAGGCCGTCCTTTGCGAGTTTGCCCTTGCGCAGATCGACGCAGAGCTCGACGAAGAGGATCATGACGGGCTCGAGCGAGGTGATGGGGCTGTTGCGGGTGCGCTTCGAGGTGACATGTTCGTGGAGCAGCTGGAGGGCGGCCTGGTGCTGGTCGACGCCGATGAGTTCCTGGGCTCGTTTGCTGTGTGGTGTTAGCTGGGGCAGCCTCTGCAGCGAGTCTGAGGCGGGGCGCACAGAGTGTTCTCCGGCTTGGAGTGGGGTGGAGGCGCCATGCTGGGCAGGTCGATGTCACCGATCCCAGGGCAAGGGGCTGTATGGGCTTTGCAGCAAGCAGGCGACGCAGCCGGGAGCGTTGGAGGTTGGGATGGCGGTGCGGGTCTCACAGGCTGCGATGCAAAGTCACCGCTTGCAAAATGGTTGTGGTAGGCTGAGGTAAGCGAGCACCCGCCAGTGATGTGCCGGCACCTCAGCAGGGCCGTCGTCCCCGCACATGCAAGGCGACGCCGCCCAGCGAACGGCTCCGGGCGGCCCTGGCGTGTCGAGGGACTCGATCACACAGACACGGGGAGCGAGCCCCTGGGGACGCAGCCGGCGGACGAGCCATGCGCAGTGCAGTGCAGTGCAGTGCATGGGACGGGCGCGGTGCAGCGGACGTTGTTGTTATTGTTGGTGTCGCTTGTTGTTTGGCGGGAGGAGCAGATGACACATGCTAGTCCCAATTGCCAGTAGCAGCACGACTACACACTACTGATAAATAGTGGCGGTGCAGACGGACAAGCGAGAGCGAGGCGTCCGAATCGGCGAGGCGGAACAATGCGCCAGGGCAGGCCGGCGGGCGGGCAGGCAGGCAGGCACGCTCTAGCCCCGTACTCAAACCTAATATGGCGCTATGCCGCAACCGAACAGCGCCCGACGAACAGGCCCATCAAGGGGATGGCCGGCCCATCTTCCAACCACCTCTCCTGGCATCCCGTGCTTCACCTGTCGCCCATCTCTGCACCCTCTTCGTCAACCCTCGACACCGCAGTCGCCGTTGCAGTCGCCGTCGCAGCATCTCCAGCATCCACATTGCGCTGATATCTGGCGGCAGGCTCACCCCCGGCTGGCCGTCCTCGCTCCTTACCCCCTCCCTTTGTTGCTGTCTCCTGTCTACGCCGTAT